GAGAGAGAGAGAGAGAGAGAGAGAGAGAGAGAGAGCACTAAGCCATATTCCTTTAAATGTGACTTTAAAATTCTTCCTTTAATAAAGGTTTGGAAAAGAAAACACTTTCCCTTCAAATCTAACTCTATTTAATTTTTATTAGAACTCTTATTTTCTTTGTCAAAGATCACCCCATTATGTTGCTATTAATAGGTTAAAATAAAAGAGAATGTAAGAGGTCTTTCAGGGTTTGAAAATATTCTATTATGGTGTGTATCATATATTTTTCATAAAGGATCATTTCAATCCAATTATCCAAAACTTAGTGTAAAAAATATGCTTCAGCTGCAGAGATAAAAACAATTTAAAATAATGAGCCCAGAGGCTACCCTGACTTCTCTAGATCCTTGTCTTCATTAGAGTGTGGCATACATTCATTTTCTTTTAAAAAGAATGATAACAAAAGTGGTTATTTACTAGATTACGTCCTGGTCCTTATTTCATTTGTACTCAACTCAAAAATCATTGCATTAAAAACAAAATAATTTCAAGCAGCAAGACTCGTATTAATCTCAAATTTTGGAATGAGCTACCATTCTCCCAATATCACTAATCTATTTTTTTTTTTAGGTTTCATGCACAAGTATCCTAAATTCCATGAAAAGTTCCAGGAAAATATAGTATTTTAGAATGTTCTTCATGACCTACACTACCTTATTTTAAAGTCAATGTATAATTTTTGTTTTGTTTTTCTGAAAGGCAAGAAAAATATGTAATGATCCTCCAAAACTAGATTTCTCACTGCTTTTATATTAAATAACCAAAATAACCTCAAGAAGGCTTATAAAGTGTTTCCCTATGTACTTGAACTCCTGTGTATACTGACTAACAATTGTTTAGAAAATGTGTTATTTTACAAAATTTTTGTATAACTAATTGTTTCTCTCATCACATAAAATTTTACTCATTTAATTTCTGTAACTGTTAGCTGATAATTCACTTACCAATGGGTTTTTAAAGAATTCATATTTGGCATAATTTTTTCTAAAGTATAGCTTATTTTCCTCTTCCATGCCCCAGTTAGACAGCACTTCAATCACCAGCTCATGGTCTTCTATTGTTCTTTCTGTAAAGAATGCTTCAGTGAGTGTGCTGACAGACAAGACAAACTCAAATGTATAATCATACAAACCTGTAAAACAGATTACACAGATGTCTCTATTAGACATAGTAAATTGCAACTCAACTCCTAAGTATCCAGATTAATAAAATTTCTTATCAATCTTGAATTAGTAACATTCATTTTTATACCAAAGCATTCACCTGAAAAGAAAAATCACATAAAATATTGCAATGTAACTTTTGGTAATTCTCTATCCTCTTTCATTGCTATGTAAATTATAATACAAGTTTGATAACAAATCTGCATTAAGACATGAAAGCTATTCTTTCTCCAACTCATCACTGTACCAAGATTAAAATATTTATTTCAAGGTTGAACAATTCACCTCATTAAGAGATGAGGAATTTTGACAGATTCAATATGTATTTAAGATACATAATCTGAGTAGTTGAGAAAAAAAAAACTAGAAGAGATGCTTTTAATGGAAATTCTCATACAAGTAGGTACATCTGCTACAGCAAATCAATTTTTATGGCACTTTATATTTTTCAAACTAATGCTAAGAAAATCATGTTTTATATTAACAATGAAGATAATTAGGTAAAGTGAGAAGGCTCTTAGTAGAAAAGACATGTAAACGAACCAAGCAACAGCAACTATAAAGAGATTAAATGTAATATGAAAATTTTCTGTTTTAATAAGAAACTGTGAAGATGTTCATAATTCCCCAAAAGGGAAACCCCAAATATTTATGGACATGAGACAGAATAAAGTATTTTAGAAGCATTATACAGATATACACATATCCAGATAAAAAATCCTCAACAATACTGATAACTTTCACAAACATAATAATAAATGAAAGAAATTAGATACAAATAGTACACATTGCATGACTACACGGACATAATATTGAACACAGGAAAAATCAACTAGGGTGTTAAATACAGGTAATTTGAGCCATGCAGGGAACCAGCTGTGGGACAATATTGTCAATATTGTGTTTCTGAATGTGGGTGTTGGTTACTCAGGTACCTGCAATGTCTGAGAAGACTCTCAGCTGCCTAGCTATGGTTTATCCACTTAATGCATATCATATTTCAATAAATAAGTTGGGAAAAAAAGAACCATGAAATTATCAATGTAAAACAGGAAAAGCAGAAGAGCAATCTAAGGAATATGAAATTTTATGACTTTTTAGTGTGTCTAGAACCTTTTTGAAAAGTATCTGTGCCTTAGAAATTCAATCCTCAGTAGTTAACTGCTACCGGCTATACCCTACACTTGAAAGTAATGTCACATTAAATATAAGCTTATTCATCTGAAAGGAAGTTCTTGAAAGAGTGCTTAGTGAATATGGATGAGTTTGAGCTAAGTGTACATCAAGAACTGGGTTTTTGTTTCTAACTCTGATTGCTTCTTTTCTGTGTCACTGACAGGCTCCCTCCCCTGCTTCTCGTTCTGAAGATTTGGTCCTAATTCCAATCTCCTTTTTTCCCACCTAAATGAGTGCACACTTATGTGTAAACATAAGAATTATATAATTTGTTGTGCCTATTTTTAAAATATATTCTAATTTTTAAATGTTTTTTTATCATATTCTATAGGGACTTAAAGTTCAGCATATCAATACTTGATAAAAAATACCTGTTCCACTTATGCCTAAGATGTTTGATATCCAGACAGATAGTGAGATTAAGCTTAACAGCCTAGGGTGTATGGTAATAACAATAAGCTTCTCTTCCGGAGGGTTAACAACCTAAGTTTGAAGACCAAAATTAGAGAAAAAGGAGAGCCTTCCAAGGTCAATTAAGACTCAGGATATATGAGAACTTGTACTGTAACATCATGTAACTCAGTAGTGTCCCAAATTTTCTGATCAAGGAAATTATGGGGCCAAAGAGGAAAGTGATCGATGATGTAGAGTGTGCCTAAGGAGACTCACATGGAGAGAAAACATTCTCTCAGACTTTCACAGAGAGCACATTGGCCAAGCAATGACCGTGACTCATCCACAAGGCTGACACTGACAAAGGCTCTACAATCTGAGGTACAGGATCTCAGGATAAATCCTGAGGGGATTTCACTGACGTTATCAGACCCAAAAGCTACAACTCTTGTTGCATAGGTCCTGCTTTACCTTGGTCTTAACCATCCAGCAGAAAAGTATAAAAACAAAGTATAAGAAGTAAAGCCATGCTGTTATGTTGAGATGTAGGGGACTCAGGTCAATAATTTCTGGCATTGCCAGTTAAACAGAAGACCCAATGCTATTATGGGCTACTGCACTCTTTTAGAATATTTTGCTGAGTTTACACACCTATAATATTCAAATAACGGAACTTAACAAAAAAAGGGGATACAGATGAATGTCCATTTTGTATCTGTGCATTCAAAGTGGTTAGGATAGATATATAGTTACATTCTCTTAACAAATAGAGGGATTTGTTCTAATGGTGTTTTTGAATAGGATATCATGTCCGCATCTTGTACAGCAATTAACCACTAGGAAGAATGTATGCAATGTGTGAATTATTGAAACTGTCCTACCAATTTAGTTTGAAACTGTCTCATTGTTATTTGTTTCTCAATAAAATTATGGGAAAAAATAAAATAAATAAATAAATGAGTGCACATTCCTATTTTCCATCACATTAGTTAGATTCTTTGAAGCCACATCCCCTCTCACAGCTGCTTTCACCCATGCTCCTTTCCTAACAATGAGATTCTCTGGCATCTTAAACAGAGTTCCTCTAAAACTGAAGTCAGTATGGTGGCTCCTCAATACAGTAACCATAGAATTACCATATGATGTAACAGCCCTGGTTCTGGGGATATACCCAAGAAGTGAGAGATTCAAATAGACAGGTAAAGACCAGTGTTCACAGCAACATCCTTCTCAATGGCCAAAAGGCAAAAGAAGTGAATGACACCCAACTGTCCATCAAAGGATGAATGCATACACACACACAAAGACTTACACATGAAGGAAGTGATAACATATGAAACAACACAGACAAACCTTGGAGGCATGATACTGTTAAATAAGAGGCAGGAAAGGACAAATACAGTGTGAATCCACTTATTCAAGGTACTCAGAATAATTACTGTACTTGGAGCAATTACTGTTTAATTGATACAGAAAGATAAAAAGTTCTGGTGATAAATAGTGGCAATAGCTGCACAAGAATGTGCATGCCATGTCACTGAACTATATATATTAAAAAATACTTAAGATGGTAAGTTACATAATTTTAAATATATCTAAAAAACCAAGGTCATCTTCCATTTCCCTTAATGTACCTATTCATCCTAAATTTTCTTTTCTCCACTACTGTTATTAATATTTTACTTCATTCTCCAAAACATAAACAGAGCAAATATCCACCCTGAGCCTTTCTCTCTGAACCTTCATCCTTTATTCCTGGCAGACCCAGCTATCAGCTGCTTTCCTTCTGCATGCCCTCACAACCGACAGCCCTCCCCCAAGCCAACTCCCATGCCATACTTCAATTTAGGTCTCTGTCTTTTCTTTACTATTCTCCAAACCTCCAAATTCCTCATTCTTCTACTCCATCCTGAACATCGATATCTGAGCAATCCCCTAAAATATGTTTCAAAGCAAAATCCTGCTGAAAAAGTCTGCTTCTTCTATTTGTTATGAATGAGATAAACCCACGTAGCCTGGCAGCTATAACTCATTCATCTTTCATCCATTCAACAAATATTTACTGAAGACCTAGACATTGTCAGATATTCCTCTTAGAACTGACAATTTTGTAGTGGATAGAACAGAAGGAACAACTGACTTCATAAAGACTGCATTATGATGAGAAGTCAGACAATAAATAACATGTGAATCTTAAAAGCTGGCAAAAAAAAAAACCTACAAGAAAAAAGGAAGAGAGAAAAAGTGCTAAAGGTAGAGGAGAAAAGGATTCAGGGGAGCATATATTGAGAAAGTAATATTTGAACAAAGATTGAAAGAAGAGGCACAAGCTTTGTAGATACTTAGAGGGAAAAAAAAAAAAAGAACAAAGCCCTTGAGATACAGGCAAGGCCAGCGTACCAGAAGCACAGCAAGGAGGTTTATGGGACAATAGATGAGTTGGTAAAGGAGAGAGGATCAAGAGAAGAGGCTGGAGAAGAAATGGTGATGAGATGGGGTTGTGCAAAGCACCCAAAGAAGGATTCAGCTCTTCTTCAGAATTTACATGACAATCCATACTAACTGTAGGAATAATATGAACCAATGGGTTTTCATTGGGTCATACTTCCTGTAGAGTGGAGAACCAATTTTAAAAGTTTAAAACTCTGAAGACATGAAGACCACATAGCAGACTATTGCAACTGACTGAGAAGCACATGATATGGATTAGATTAGCATGTCAACAGTGGATGTGAAAAGAAATGAGCAATATCTGGATCTACTCAAAGACAGTATCAGAAAGATTTACTAGCACAGTAAATATAGAGTGAAAACAAATAAGAGCACTCACTGAAGACACTGAAGTTCTGGGCCTAAACAGCTGGCCGGACTGTGCTATCACTAATGAGCTAGGATGTCTATAAGAGAAGCAAGTGGAGGGAAGGGGGGACCTCAGTAACAACCAAGAGAGCAAATGAATTTTCACCCCTAGTAATCTTTCACTCTATTTCTTTCAGTTTCTCAGACTCAGCTGATACTATGAAGCTCACAAAACCTAAGTACACATTAGTATACATGTTTAGGTTACCTGCTAAACACTGTACCTATATTCTTTGCAACTGCAGTGGGAAAAAAATCTCAAGGCATTAATCAAGGTGCTTGTTTATTTCTCCTGCTACCAGTGTTTCCTTGTACCTAGTACCTTTCTCTTTGGTTAAGGAAATAGCCTGTATTCTTTCCTCAAGGAACCTTACATCAAGAGGGAAAAAATGACAAAGCATCTCCTTAGTTTCGGAGTTTTTAAGTGGATGGTATCAATATTTGGTAAGTATTATTGCTTCTGGAGCATCATACC